GTATGTAATTGTCCCAGGTCACTGGGTGGGGGCTCGAGCCGGTTTTGCATTGTGTTATTGAAACGGAACCCCTAGATACAGAACCCGGCCCTTGTTGCTGCCAACTAGATGGGCAGAAGGGTTACACATCTTAATTTAAACGAATCAAGCACAAAAACAAACTTTCCCTTTATTTTTTAAATAGTTTACATTTAATACAGTACTGTACTTGGGAGCTTTTTTGTCTCTACTGTTGGCTGATTGCGTATTTCTGGTTCCAAATGAGGTGTGTGGTTGACAGGTCATTTCGTAACTCTGGTGTTTGTAATTCTGAGGTTCTTCTGTTTCTTAATTTGCTTTTCTTATAGTAGGTTGTGTGATTCCCATCCTCCAGAATGGGATCCATAATGCTGTGGCAGATGTAATGATGACTATTAAGGTGTACGGTGTAGCATGCTTACCATGGAATGCCCCAGAATGAAAACTGGGATGTCTGGGTGATCCTTCTTCATGAGTTCAATGTGCTGCAAGCTGTCTCTGATGAAAACATGGAAATCTGACACGACCATGCGGTCACCTTCGCTCTGCCCGTGGCCAACTGTATGGGGGAAAGGAAAACATTGCTTCTACATCACACAGAACAATATTAACATTTTACTTGGCACCTAGATACTCCAGATATGGGTGCATCAGAAATGCGATAGACAGGTAAGTAGGTGAGCAATGTTCTAGTTCCCACACACACTGCGTATTGCATAAATCCGGTCCCACCCAGCTTCCTTCCCCAATACCTCATAATGGATAACTTCAATGTCCTGTAGAAATACGCAGTACAACACACAGGACAGAAAAGCAAGCTTATGGCTGCCTAGGTCTTGTCTAAGAGCGTTGTTAATTCTTCACATACGCATTGGCTCCCCATCACTAGAGATAGGCCTGACTAACAGAGTTCAGATCTAGTCTCTGACTACTCTCAAGTTCAGGGGCTGTTCAGTTCTGGGAGTTTGGATTGGCCTATTATAGAGACAGAAGGCAGATGCCAAGTTCAGAGTTTGATCTTGATCCAAAGTTGCCCAGAATTTGTGGACGTTAAGATGCAGCCACTCAGATGCCATGGTGAGGGGTGCAGTATATACACATAGAGAGACAGATAATTTTAGATATTGGATTAGACCAGTGGTTCTCAAACGTCATTGCACTGTGATCAACTTCTGACGACAAAAATTACTACGTGACCCCAGTCCCCTGTGTTACTCTAGATTCTAGAGTCTAGAATCAGGGCTGGCATTAGGGGGCGGTAAGCAGGGCAATTTCCTGGGGCCGCAAACCACAAGGGGCTACACGAAGCTAAGTTGATTGGGCTTCGGCTTCAGCCCCGGGCAGCACGGAGTCTAATGATGGCCGTGGAGGCCCATTAAAACGAACTTGTGACCCACTTTGGGGTCGCGACCCACAGTTTGAGAACCGCTGGATTAGACTATTATAGGCATAGCAGGTCTCCTGCAAAATTCAGACTTGTGTACAAACTTTCCCGAATTCTGGGGCTCTTGGGACTCTGGTCTTTGATTTTGCCACGTCTGTTCCAGAAACAGTTTTTATATTTGGAGAGACCTGCCTTGTCCTCTCCTTCTGCTGTTTGGGGGCAATGGGTTAGTGCACTAGCCTTCATCGATGGAGAGCTGAGTTCAAATGTCAGCTTACTGTAGGGCCACAAGCGTGGGGAGGGTAAACAAGGCTCTCCTCCTAAACAAGTGGTAACACAAACCCCCAGCCTCCCACCCTGACAGTCTATTTATGCTACACACAGCATTTGTCTTGTTTTTGATCAATTTTTAGTCTCCTCTGCCTTTTTTCCTCTTTGAAGTACACTAGTTACTATGGAAACAATGGTATCTTTAGTAGGGGAGGGATTAGTGACATCCATAAGCACTGTACAAAGTCCATTTATTAGCATGCCAAGGTTAGAAACGTATACCACACTGTGGAAACAACAGCGTATATATGATGATTATCATAACCACACACATTGTGTGATATATATAATGAATATAATTATTTTTTCCCAAAAAAGAGCCTTGCTGTTTCTGTTCAAAGTAGTTTGTCATTTAAGGAGATTTGGGGGAAATAAAAATTACTGGTTCCATGTTACAGGCTGGCCATGTCTGCCTCTAACACCCACCCTCTTCGCAGGTGTTGCTCCTGCTGGGAAATGCTAAGTGGGCCCTTCTGACTCAGTGATGCAGGTGTCTCTTACCTCCCCTGGATGTTAGGGAGGTGGAGAGGAGGTTCTCTAGAAAGAGAGGATCTAAGGTGTGGGCTGAGCAAGCCAGAAGGAGGAATCCTGGGAGTAGCCAAGTCTAGGGAAAAGATGTGAGCAACACTTTATATGATCTTATTAATTTCTGTGTTTGAAATCAAATACCAGGCAGAGGGTGAGTTTGGCTTCCACACAGTGTGTGGACTGTGTTTGTAGAGCAGGTTGGGAAAGGCACTTGCTCGCATTCCATATTCTTTCTTAAAAACATCAGTTTAAAATAAATCTTATCACTAACTCTATACATGGCTTCATTTCCACAAAAGATTAAATTCTGCATTTACTTTAATATTTATTGGTCATTTAAAGCTGTTTTCAGTCCACTGATGTATGGAAGATACTTTGGGAGAAATATGCTAAATGCTTGCTACTGTCTCTACAAATGGCACAGTGATGTACTGTACCATGTCATTTGTAGTATACTAGCATGTTGCCAACACGTGGGCTGATCCTGCAAACACACTATTGATTTTAGTGCTTATTGCCCTGGTCTCAGAGTCAGGAAAGCACTTAAGTGGGTACTGTAGCCCCACTGACTTCATTGGCATTACTAAGAGTACTAAGAGTTGAATTTCTTGAATTGCTTGGTGGCTTTTGAAGGCTCAGACCCTCAGAGGGTCCCCTCTTTATTATGTGTAGTTGATTTTTTTTCTCTTATGATAGATCCTGCCATGAATAGCGTACAATCTTCTATTCTGTGTTTGGAAAGTTCCTTGCACATGGTGCATGCTACCACACTTAGGCCAGGTGTACACTAGAAATTTTTGCCATTATAGTAATGTTGATTTGGAGTGTGACTTATTTTTTTTAATGACATTTCTATACTGGCAAAAGTCCTAGTGTAGATGCTGTTATGCCAACTTAAAAATGCTTTTGTTGATTCTAATGGGACGTACATACCCCAGTGATACAAAAAGAATTCAGTGGAGCCAGAGAGCAGTTAGTGCACTCAGTTACACCTGGAGGATGGGTCAGGCCCAATTAAAGATTAGGCCCAGCTGTAGCAGAGTGGGGGTGCTTGAATTAGTCCCATCTGAGAGGAGCCATGGTCACTAATAAAGGAAGGCCTTCAGGGCAGTAGAAGGGAATCAGGAGGCTGAGGGACAGAGTAGGCCTTGAGATCCTGTCTCAAGAAGGGAGCTTTGGCAAAGGGTTGAGAGAGATACCGGGAAGCCACGGGGGTGACGTGAGCTCCTGTGGTGAGCCTTGACAAAAGAACAAGACTCCAGAGGTTGAATTTCAGGAGGAAAGAGAGAGGTGCACAGAGGGCCTTGGGAGAAGCAGACAGGAGCCAGGTCTCCACGGCAAAAGCCCTGGAAGACGCTGTTCAGGTCAGGAGTTGCAAAGAACTGTGCAGAGCCTGGGGAGGGGTGAAGGTCTGTGGATGAGTGAGCCCAGGTCGGGGCTGGGGAAAAGGACCTTGAGACAGGCTGAGGAAGGCAGCAAGGAGTCTGAAGCAGCAGATGTTCACTGTTTGCTACACGGTCCTTGGAGAGGAACCCAGAGGACAAGGAGGGCCTGGGTTTCCCTACCAGCTGTGAGGAAGGTGGCATGTAAGCCCTGATATAAGGGGTGTAAGGACCACAGAGCCCAAAGTCAGGCCGAAGACCGACTGGCATAAGATCACTGGACTATTGTTTTGTAGGACTCTGTTACCCTGGAAGGGCTGGGACTAAAAGTCAACTGGCTGGGGATCTGGCGAGTCACAAGACAAAGCCCACCACAGCAGAGCCAGATTGGTTGTCTGCCGAGGGCTCTACAGTAGGAGAGCCTGCTATGGCGTGCCCAGCCACAAGGGGGGGCGTGCCAGCCAGTGAGTCACTTACATTGGTATAGTATATTTCACTCAGGGAACTGGCATAAGCTATACTAAGAAAAGCACTATTTTGGTATAAGCTGTGTCTATGCTCAGAGGGTCACAGGTCTAGATATATTGGTATAGCCATACTGGCAAACCTTTTCTGGCATAGATCTGGTCTAAGGCCTGGTCTATACTTAAAAACTAGATTGATCTAGCTATGTCGCTCAGGAGTGTGAAAAACTTTGTGCGCTGAGTGCCGTCCTTAGGTTGACCGATTCCCCTGGCGTAGATGCAGTTGACAGAAGAATGATTTAATCAATCTAGCTGCTGCCTCTCGGAGAGATGGATTAACCACATCAACAGAAAACCCCTTCCATCGATGTAGGAAGTGTCTACGCTACAGCGGCAAGCTACGGTATTGTAGCTGTGCTGCTATAAGGCTGCAGTGTAGACGTGCCCTAACTGGCCACTGCTCATTATGGGGAGATTTTTCAGCTACACAAATGGCAGTTAGATGTCTAGGGCTCATTGACTTTCAGAGGAAGTTAGACACCCCACTGCCATTTGTGCCTCTGAGAATCTTCGCCTCTACATACACATCTAGTGGCATGCATGGCATTTTGTTTAATGATGCATATAAAGTCATAACACATTGCACTGAAATGGTACCTTTAAATCCAAAGACGTCTCAGCACTTCACAAATGTTTAGGAATGAACTCTCATAACACCTCTGAGGGGAAGAGCCATGTCAGTATTTCCAGTTTTACAGATAGGAAAAGGCAAGGGGAGATTCAATGAATTCTGCAAGCTGGCACAGTGATTTAATGGCAGAGTTAAGAATAGAACCCAGGAGTCCTGATTCCCTTCCCCCTGTTTTCACCCATTAGACAAGCATTCCTCTCTCAGATCTCAAAAACAACCGATTAGGGGGATTTCCCCCTGCCTGTGACAGGAGTGATCCATGTGTAATAAAGGGAGAACAGACTCCCCCTTCCCCTGTTAATATATTTTTATTTTTGGCATTGATACTATTATTGGTGATCCAGCAGTGTTAATGAGAGAGTCAGTGTAGATCACACTAAGACATTCTTTTCCCCCCTTCATTTTATTTTAACAGAGCAGTCACTGCACTTTTATCTTTTCCTCCCTGAGAAACCAAACCTGCTCTGAACGGTAATGAGTCCATTAAAAGTTAGAATCTCCCAACTGACAACTGCTCAGGGCAGGGAGCTGAGACCTTCTGAGCTAAATGAAAGGAGGTGGCACAACCAAACATCAATACAGTAAAGACTGCTGATATTTTTCCTTCAAATTTTACAGACTTCGGAAGAGTCTGTGAGAGAGTAAAGGGGCCAAATGCATCCCTGATGAAACCCCAATATCTGCAATGGGGTTACACAAGGGATGAATCTGGCCTAATGGTTCTAAAAAGCCAGTTTCACAAAAGTCGGTGCAGAAAAAAGCTACATCTGTGAAATGTCT